ATCTCTTGACCTTGTGATCCACCCGCCTCCGCCTCCCAAAGTGCTGGGATTACAGGCATGAGCCACCGCGCCCGGCCCTATTTAGTAGTTTTTATATATGCACGGGGGTCCTCACTAGAAAAATGAAGACCCAAAGAAGTAGATATGCCTAAATGTTTATTTACTAGCTTAAAGAAAGACTGGCAATTGCAGAAAAGTAAAATATGTGGGAAGACCAAAGGAAGATACTTATTTTAACAAGGTCTATTTGTACAGGTTTTTTACAGCTTTGACTCCCTGTCTCTGGTAGTAAAAATGTTTCTTTTCTCTTGATATAAGGAGGGTACTTTAGAAATATCTTAAACTTACTAAAATAATGACTTATAACCTAGATTTGTATTGTCTTTTAATTATTTATTTTTTCTACCCAATACATATTTTCCAATTTCTTCTTTAAAACTATGAAAATATGTGGTTTAACAAGACATTAAGCTAACCAAATTTATGTGGTTGTTTCAATTGTGTTCAGTTCTGCCTAGAATCTCCGTCCACATTTTACTGAAAAAAAAAAGGCACGTTTATTTTCTAGTCTCATTTAATTATGTATAATTTGGTTTACATATTCATAGATTTAAAAAGTATAAAGTTTTCCTTTACCATAGTGATTTGAACCTTAATGAACAGCCTTGCAACTTACTTCTATGGTATAGGAATCTTGAAACACTATGTTATTGCCTTTTATATCTTGGCTTTTAAATATGCTAGTTTGGCTATATTTTCTTAGCCAGTTATTTTTCATACTTTACAGTGTGAGTCCAGAGCAAATTAATAGAAGACACTTAGATTATTAAGTTGTCATGAAACTAAAAACTGATATTGGCTGTGTTTCTGTATAAGGGGCATAAAATGTAGCATTATTTACTGAATAAATCTCTATTAACAGAGATAATTAAAAATACTGATTCTAGAAGTCAAATAGCTCCTTATGATTCTACATCCAGGGGATAATATGAAATTGGCTAAAGGTTGATTTTTTTCAGCAGTGAATGAAACTGAGATTCACATTTTGACTGGCCTGCAGTATTTTAGCATTGCTATTCCCCTTGAACAGGGATTTGTAAATGGATTGAAGAGTAAATATAATTATGTTCACACCACTGGCTAATTAATTATGTAAATGGGACTTCGCTTGCATTACTTTCCTCTTCTGTGAATAAGTGATTAAAATTAGAAAAAAAGAGTGTTGCTATTTAACAGTTTTTCAGAATGTCCTTTGGATCGCAATGTTAGAGTTTTGCTTTGCTGCTTGTTTTAAATTTAGTTTTTTCTGCCTTTGCTATTGTCTAAAATTGGAAGTTCAGATTATTATTTGAGAATTTTCTTCTTTTCAAATGCAAGCATTAGTTTCTATCCTAGCTGTTTTGGTTATTTCTCACAAAATTTGAATTTTCATTCTAATTCAGCTTAAAGTATTTTCAATTTTCCCAAAATGTCCTCTTTCACCGTTGTTGGACCTATAAGAAGTTCATTTTAATTTCTCTCTATATGAGAATTTTCCATGTAGTTTTAAAAAATTACATGTTAAGTTATTTTGTGATCTAAGAGTACGAAGTATATTATTTCTATTGTTTTAAATTTATTAAGGTTTAATTTTGGGGTGGGAATAAAATTTATTTGGTGAATGTTTCATGTGCACTTGAAGAAATATTGTATTCTGTTTTGGGCTATGTAAGTGTCAATTAGGTCTAGTTGGATGATAGTTTTGCTAAAAAAAAGAATATATTAATTCTAGTTTTAGCTTTGACATTAAAAAAACTGGGAGATAATATCTCACATCCATACAATAAGAAAAATGGGATGAGCTGAAAATCAACAACTGTCCTTAAACCTGTCAAAGCAAAAATTGCACCAGACACACTGAAACAGGCAGGGGAAACTTCAAGGTTACTGGAGAAGAGCAACGAGACTCAACTAAACTCTTCTAAAACAAATAACTGAAGAATTTTTAAGAGCTGGGTTGAGTCAAATCACAGGCCATATGTGTATGCTAATTGGCTTTACCAGAAGGAAAGGTAAATTTTCACCTATCTTCATGACAAGAGGTAGTTTTACACATTAGAGCAAAATGTCCACCTGTTACTCTCCTCACTCTGAAGACATTGAAAAATAAGAGCTTTATCTTTCTTCGTGAATACATTTCAAAGGATGACTCCCAGGTGTTGAGAAAGACATTCATGGGTTGCAAAACTGGCCAGAGGCTTTTAAAATCTGTTTTAGTTTTTGGATTTAAAATAGAAGTTTATTTGTCTTTCATACAACACTCTAAGGTAAGCAGGGATGGCAGACGAGCAGATGGCTCTACCTGTTTTGTCCTTTGGTACCCAGCTTGTTGCTGTTTGAATGATCTATCATCTCTTAAAGCTGTGCTGCCCATGAGAAGTTTCTGTAATGATGGAAATATTCTATAATTTGTATTGTTTTAAATATTAGAGTCACATGTGGCTATTGAGTACCTGAAATGTGGCTAGTGAGGCTGAAAACCTAAATAAGGGATTTATTTAATTTTAACAAATTACTTACATTTAAATAGCCACATGTGGCTAGTAGCTGTCATATTGGTTAGAACAGCTGTAAAGCATCGTTTGTTTTGTGTGGTTTTGATTTATTTATTTTATTGTTTTCAGCTTCATTGAGGTATAATTGACAAATAAAACTTGTATATATTTAATAAGTACAATGTGATGCTTCCATATACAGAAAAATTATGAAACAATTATCACAAGTAAGGCAGTTAACATATCAGTAACCTCATGTGGTTAACTATTTTTGTGCTTATGGTGAGAATACTTACCTGCTCTCTTAGCAAATTTCAATTGTACAATACGTTATTACTAACTATAGTACCATGCTGTGTTTTAGACCCTCAGAAGTTATCATATAACCAGTTTGTACCGTTTGACTCACATTTTCCCATTTTCCCCACTCCCAAACCCTTGGCATTATCTTTTATATAAGAATTTAAAAATGTCAAAGTTATAAAAATGGAGAATGGAATGGTGATTACCAGTGGCCGGATACTTTTAGAAAGATTTATGCCCTCAAAGGGGCAGAGAAGGAATATGCAAGTTTTCTAAATTAAATGGTCTAAGGAGAGGAAGATTAGGGGCCTAGTGGCAAGAATAAGCTTGTGGAAAGTTTAGTAAAGCTGAGAGAAAAGTAAAGGCTTTCTTGGTCAAACTCTTGGACAAAATCTGGAAAGACAAGAGTACCCCCTCACAACCACCATCAAAAAATCTAATTGAGATCTACTGATGGCTAGTCCTCTAGAAGACTGTGTGGGATATTTTTATGCCCCCTTTGGTAAAAAAAAAAAAAAAAATAAGCACATTTTGGCTAACAATAAGCAAAGCAAGCCCGTTATACCATGCTTCTTTGCATGACAAATGGATTATGTCACACAAAGTTTTGCCCAGCCAAAAACCGAGATTTAAAGAAAACTTACAGAAACAAGCTCCAAGTGGCCCTGTTCCATTGCCAGCTCACAGTCCTGTTTAGTCACACCTGGTTCTGTGAGACATACAGAGAAAAGCCTCCATACTGGCTTTATTCTGCTTTCTAATCAGCCCCCAAACAACATGAGCACTGGGCGTTGCAGCAATCTTCACTCCTTGTCACCCATGAGAAAGCTGGAGTTTTAATCTTCTCTTTCATGAAGTACCAAAGCATCTTTTTCTATTAGCAGGTTGATCTCCTCTTTCCTCTCTCAGCATGAATTTACTCATAGAATGTGCCAAATGAACAAGAAAGAAATCAGTGTAGGAATTTCAGTTGGATGTTTGTGTTATTATTCAGTTTCCTAAATTGTATTTCTATAGCTATTAGTGTAATTCTGTGATTACCTTACCATATGCTCAAATACTCATGATTAACAAATGTCTATAGCACTCTGGAGGAGATAAAGTACAAATCCCCTCTTATTTTACATAATCACCTAAACCAATACAATTTTTTTTCTTGAGACTAAGGAAATATTACAAATCATTGTGTTATACAAATCGTTTACCAATAATTTTTAATGTAGGGTTTTATGAAATGCTGTTCCATTTTTGAATATTTCCCACAATGAAATGCATAACTATAATGAGCCACTTGTCATGATCCTTCATTTTCAATAAAACCACACAGACACAGACACACACAAAATTTAGGGCTACCTGCTATGATTAAAGATGAGATAAAAGTTTATGTTTCCAGGATTACCAAACTTTACTCGTTGGACTATTATGTTTCACTTAAACATATAAATCTAAAACACCCCAAGTAATGCCATTGATCATTCAGGCCATTGTTTTCTGTAATGTTTTATATTACATTGACCTATTATGTGTCAAAAATGATTCATGAGTACCTACATGTGTCTCCTGTGAGGAGTTTTTAGCCCAGGAAGCAAAATAAAATCTTGGAGCCAATCTCTGCTCTTTGACGCAGACCATACAGGTCCTCGTAGGTCTTAGACTAATGGCCTCCAAGATGATTTATCTCATTCTACCCTTGACACAGAATGATGCTTGCCCTGAATAATATCCTCTCCTTTCTGCTCTGTGATCCAAGGCATATAAGTCAGATCCAGCAACTGTTCTGCTTTCTTCACCAAGACTTTCTGACGATTCTAGATTCAGAAGCTTCTTCTCATTATTCATTCTCTAACCTCATTTTGTACTTACTTTCTATATCAAACGAATCTCTCCAAACATTCTTTTTATTGAATATAGAAATCATATTCTCGTTTTCTATGATACACAGAACTGACTGCCACAGTGTGAGGCACACAATAAGAGCTCAGTAAATGGCTATTCATTTGGTAGTTCTAAAATTGTGAAAATTTAATTGATTCAAATAAAATGAATCCATTAATCATATTAATGAATCCATTAATTTATATTAATAAATCCATTAATCCATTATTAATGTCCAAAGAGAATCAAGAAACAAATGCTCTTTTAAAAATTCTGATTTATTTTAAACAGAATACCCTATGTCTGGACCTCCATGATGGCCCTGCCATGTCTGTATATTCTATTTTGTGACTAATGGTAGACAAAGTTGTTGGAAAATGACTTTGTGCTCAGTTTTCCTGGGAAAGCATTGATCTTTCAAATAATGGCATTCACTATTCCAATGCATAACAGGTTTTTAAAAAACTAACAAAAGTTTAATCACACAAGCTTGTTTTGTCCCTAAGGAAAGATAACTAGAAATAAACACATCCAACTTGGTCTTCACTGGCAGTTATTCACTACAACATGTTCACTTGTTCCTCATAAAGAATTATGCTAATACCATACTTTTTGTATTGAATCAAGAGTATTAACTAAACATTTATCATTCTTCAAACGTATCATTTTATATTCCAAAGATTACAACGAACACCACACTCACAAAGAAAAAATATCTTGAGCAAATGCAGGAATCTTAACAGAAATCTGTGGTCTTCCTCCCCCAAAACTTCAAACCCCTTTGTAACCATGAGAAAAGTATCACGAGAACTCAAATGAAAAACATTTTACAAAAAAACCTCACTAGTACTCCTCCAAACTGCAAAGTCATAGAAAACAAGAAAAGACTGAGAATCTGTTACAGCCAATAGGGGTCTGAGGAGACATCCTTAGTAAATACAATGTGATATCCTGATTAGGACCCTAGAACAGAAAAAAAAAAAAAGCATTAGGTTAAAAAATAAGGGAATTAGAGTAAATTATATACTTTAATAATAATGTGTCAGTATTGATTTATTACTTATGACAAATATAGCATATTAATGTTAATAGGGTAATCTGGTTGTAGGATATATAGGAATCTTCTGTACTAGGTTCACTTCTATAAATCTGAAACTATTCAATAATAAAAGTGTATTTTAAAAATGATGCGTTTTGATGAATTTATAAAAGTATTGAATAAGTATGAGAAAAATAAACATGGCATTTCCATATTAAAAATGTCCTTTGAGATTAGCAGTATATCCAAAGTAGAGGGGCATGAATAGCTAAGCGATTTCTAGCACATACCTACTGTTTTAATTCCACATAGATTCAATTCATATAATTTTGTTACATTATTTAACATAGACAATACTAATTTTCTCATGTTAATTCTTAAAATCACTGTTTACCTTATTATTAAACTAGTCTCATTTCATTTTTGCCTAAATAATACCTTTTAAATATGGTTGTCTGTGAAAATTTTAAGTTTTTATTTTTTCAAAATGCCTTTATCTTGTTTCATTTGGAGAGACCAGTTCTCTGGTTATTAGTCTTCTTGGGCTGCAATAACAAAATACCACTGACTGAGTGATTTAAAGAAGAAATGTCTTTCTCATGGTTCTAGAGACCGGGAAGATCAACGCGCCAGATAGGTAGGTTTCATGGGAGGCCTCTTCTCATACTCATAGGTGTCTGCTGTGACATTGTGCTGTGTGCTCACATGACTTCTTTGCACATGAGGGGAGAGAAGGTGATAAAGAACCCTCTCTGACATTTTTCCTGTAAGTAAACTAATCCTGTTAGGACCAACCTTAGGATCTCCTTTAACAGTAGTTATCTCCTTATGGTCTCTATTTTTAATACAGTCACATTAGGGGTTAGGGTTTTAATATGGATTTTCTAGGGGACACAACTCTGCCCAGAGCACTGGTAACACAATTTTATGTTGCTTGGTAGTTTATTTAATTACATTGTTCTCTGTTTTTAATTGTTTAAGTTGAAAGTTATCTGAAAGTTTTATTCTTGCCCCTTTGAAGGCATTATGTCACTTTTCTGTTTTGCTTTCTGAATATTCTCTTTCTCTTTTGTACCACTATTTGATAAATCAAAGGCAGCAGAAAATACTTTCTTTTATTGTTATTTTGTCTTGTTTCTGTATTTCATTTTGTTTTCCATTTCTTTCAGTGAGCCAGTAGTTAATGAGTTGGCAGATTTACTATCTCTGCAAGGGAACATCTCTGGTCTAAAACCCATCAGGAGGAATGTGGAGTAGGCATCTCCTTCTCAACATGATGGAGGTTTTTATTTTATTCCAGCACAAAATGTCAGCAGGCAAAGCTTTTCAAGAGTATAAATAGCATGCTGGTACTTACAGTTCTTCTCTGATGAAATAAAACAGCAATTTTGGCTCAGGTCACCTTGAAATCCACCGATCTTCCTACCTGTATCTAAGAAATACCAGCATGTCTTGTGCTGCTAGCTCCTCAGCCTTTGCCAGTGGAATTCCCCCTTGTTTTCCCCATGATATTTAAGAATTTTAAGCGTGACCCTCACCTTCCAAGAATGGTGGTCTCTACTGAGTATTGTGTGGCTCCAGAGAGGAAGACAGAAAAGCAAGAAATCTAGAAACGGATATTGAGGATTCCCCCTATTCCATTTTGTGTTCATTTACTTCAAATGTGTTTAGTTTTATATTGAAACTTATAACTAAAACATTGCATCCATGGTTTTATATTTTAACCTATATGTAAAGTATTTTCACAAAGCAATTTGGAAATGATAATTTCAGATTCTAGAATAGGCCTAAGTTATTTTGTTAAAGCACTTTACATATAAGTACCAGAATATCCATGCTATTTTAATATACTAATCATGTGGCTCTCTGTACTGCATTTTCCATATCTGTTGAAAAAAATAGTATAACTATTTACATAATAACATTTTATTAGGCATTTTTCAAGCCAGTCTTAGGCTTATATCACTGTATCTGTTTTATTGAGTTATTCACAATCTATTTTTGCATGTCTCCACTGAATTGAAGAATATGTTGTTTGAAAATGATTTATATGACTGTGAATGAATGGACCATACCGACTGAGATAAAACAAATATGTATCTCTGGTCTCATCTGCACATCTGACTGCTTGTGTGATTCCTGAGAAAGTAGTGCTGCCCTCCAGGCCATGTTTTCTGAGTATAGCTGTGAAATAAGACCCCAGTGGCAACTTTGATTTCAAATGTGATATCCTAATATGCTTACATCTGCTTGATATGTTTGAAAAAAGAAAATAATCCAATAAATGTATAACCTACTATAGTATTTTTCTGATCAGTTGAAGTTTTATTATCTTTTTCTGTTGTGAGAGATAAGTTCACTGGTTTAGGCTGCTCAATATTTTTCCATATAACATCATTCCTACCTTCACTTAACCCTACTTTCCCCTCTCAGTAGTCTGGTCACTCATTGCCCTCGTCTCTTTATCTTTTTATAAGCATCGTGAACAAAACCTACAGGAATCGGCTTTGTAGCTGGGTTTATTTCAAGAGAACATAATCCAAGATCATACAATGATTTTGAAATTGATCAATTCATGTATTATAATGTATTTAAAAGATTAAAGGGTATTGCATTAGAAACAGTTTTTTAAAGATAGTAAGAGATTCTCATCTTGTTAGGCTATAAATTATTTAATAAGTTCTTTATACAAAATTGTGGTTTAAATATGCAGCTCTCATAAGACAGAAGGAAGGGTATTTTAACAAACCACCTCAAATTATGTTTAAAATGAGAGTAGGTCATTATAATAAAATGAATCTGCTGAGATTATTCTTTCTAAATAGCTTCAAAAGTCTGAGCATCTCTAATCCAAATTTAGGACAGACAAATAGATCTTACCACTCCTTCTTTCTCTATGAGGTAGAAATTGTCTTAGTCTTTTGTATCTAAGGCCTTCCATAGTAATAATAAACAGATGCAAACTTTCCTATTTAAAGCACAGATCCTGTTAAGAGATATTACAATATAGCCTCACTGTACTAGGCTCTCTCTGCAACTGCTTTCTAGTCTCTCTCTCTCTTTGTGTGTGTATATATACACACAGATAAGTAAGCATATAAGCATTGCTGTATAGCTAGTGGTATGTGGCCTTTCCAAGAGTGTCATGCAATAATCCAGAGCGCCTGTAAAACTTCCTAGAATTCCCCTTTATCAACTCATCCATTACCCACGTACTTCTCAAATTCCAAAGATTTTCACTATCCAAGCCAGAAAAAAAAATCCCTTGAACACGAGGTGCTGATGGCTCCCTCGGTGCTTTGATCTTGCCTCATCCCAGCCCACTCCTCTCTTACCTTTCTATGAGTCCAGAACTTGTACACTTCTTTTGATCTCACAATATCGGTATCTAGAATACACTAAATTCGTTTTATTGCTTCTATTCTTCTAGTTTCTCCAAATCTTACCCCAAAAATTCCTGATTACAGGACCCTTCTAAGAAGGTTAAGGTGAGAAAACACTAAGTGAAAATGGCAGAACTATCTTTACATGATACAGATGAGAGAATAGGAAAGGGCAAAAACAAAAAAATATATGTTAAAATATGTATTCCTACTGATATGTGTTTTTAAATTTTTTTTTTAATTTTATTTTGGGCTTTAGTGTACATGTACACATCCTGCATCCTTCATCCTACAGGATTGTTTCATAGCTACATACATGCCATGGTGGTTTGCTGTCTCCATCCCCTGGCTCCCCGCACCTCCCCATAGCCTACATCAGGCATGTCTCCCGGTGTTATTCCTCCCCCTCCTCCCCACCCCCACTCCCACTTTCCCTTCCCTCCCCTCTCCTTCACCCCCACACCTAGCCCAGTGAGTGTTGTTCTCTTCCCTGTGCCCAAGTTTTCTCATTGTTCGTCACTTGCCTATGAGAGAAAACATGCAGTGTTCGGTTTTCTGGTCTTCTGTCAGTTTGCTGCACATGATGGTATCCAGCTTCATCCATGTCTCTACAAAGGACATGAACTCGTCCTTTATGGTTGCATAATATTCCATGGTGTATATGTGCCACATTTCTTTGTCCAGTTTATCACTGATAAGCATTTGGGTTGGTTCCAGGTCTTTGCTATCAGAAACAGTGCTGCAACGAACATATGTGTGCATGTGTCTTTATAATAGAGTGATTTATAATCCTTTGGGTATATACCCAGTAATGGGATTGCTGGATGAAATGGAATTTCTATTTCTAGATCCTTGAGGAATCACCACACTGTCTTCCATAATGGTTGAACTAATTTACACCACCACCAACAGTGTAAAAGTGTTCCTTTTTTCTTCACATCCTCTCCAGCGTCTGTTGTCTCCAGATTTTTTAATGATCGCCATTCTAACTGGTGTGAGATGGTATCTCAATGTGGTTTTGATTTGCATTTCTCTAATGACCAGTGATGATGAGCATTTCTTCATATGTTTGTTGACCTCATGTATGTCTTCTTTTGAAAAGTGTCTGTTCACATCCTTTGCCTACTTTTGAAGGAGTTTGATTTTTTCTTGTAAATCTGTTTTAGTTCTTTGTAGATTCTGGATATTAGCCCTTTGTCAAAATTTTTTCCCATTCTGTTGGTTGCCAGTTCACTCTAATGACTGTTTCTTTTGCTGTACAGAAGCTCTGGAGTTTAATTACATCCCATTTGTCTATTTTGGCTTTTGGTGCCAATGCTTTTGGTGTTTGAGTCATGAAGTCCTTGTCTATGCCTATGTTCTGAATAGTTTTGCCTCAGTTTTCTTCTAGGGTTTTTATGGTGTTAGGTCTTATGTTTAAGTCTTTAATCCATCTGGAGTTAATTTTAGTGTAAGGTGTCAGGAAGGGGTCCAGTTTCTGTTTTCTGCACATGGCTAGCCAGTTATCCCAACAGCATTTATTAAATAGGGAATCCTTTCCC